CTGACATTATTATTCCATGACATGTTTTATGACATTTGACTTATGGGTTTGATATGATATTGATGATGTTTTCAGTAAACCGTTTTATAAATTACTTAATTAAAAAAAAATTGGTCTTGAAATTTGGGATGTTACACAATACATGCCAATGTATTTTTAGAGTACATCTGATGAACACATGGTTCACAAACACCTACAGGTTGTGAGCTTGATAGCGTTCCACTGGACTGTCTAGAATAGTCTGTGGTTGTCATCTATACTCTACTAGACGACGTTATCTTTAAATTCAAGGCCTCTCATCATATATTTCATCTTTCATCTCTCATCTTCTATATCATCTTTCATATCTCATCATCTATATCATATTTCATCTACCCATCTTGACCTAATATATTTATAGGTATAAAAATACATATGCAGTTTAAATCCAGTAAAACATGAATAAATTGTTCATCTAGCATAGATATCAGGAACACAGATAATAGACACATATAGCATAGCATGTAATTATGTGTAATATGAAAGTAACTATGCACTCACTTGTTAAAGTGATGACTCGAAATTCGGACAGCGCTTCGCTTCTAGCAACTGTATTTTCCTTTGACGTAGCCTAGTATCATTATCACTAAGTATTAGTCTAATATTTCTTGCGACTAATTATTAGTCTAGATTCATCATTAATTCAAATTCTACTGATGTATAGCTGATAAGGGACAACCATGTAAGATCATATCGGAGGTAGGGTTCGTTTGGTATATAGAGTATACTGTTTGGAAAGCCCACTTTAAACACCTCACTAAATCTAGCCTTGTCATCATCCTCGTAAGTAGATCAATCAGTATAACGACTTGGAATAACTGATAAATCTATTTTATAGGTTCATAATAATGATAATGAACTTAAACATAAGTTATACTTAAAGCACAGTAAGCATAACTCAACTTACAAGTGGTTTATCGAAAAACCAAACTTTGCGCGGACAGAACTTCTAAACTGAAAGCTCTATTTCTCGGGGCTTTCTGACGCTCCAGATCTTTGCTACTAACCCTTAGGAACTACTAAAACAAGGCCTAGGGACCTTGGGGGTTTGGGAGAGATTGGAATGAAGAGGTGTGAAGAAATGGGTGGAATTCGTGTTCTATTTATAGGCTTCTAGGTAGGCCTCGCAATTGAGCGGGTTCTGACCCTGATCCGATCCAAACCCTTAACAATTATACGGGTTTGGAGCATAGCTTTTGATCCGTTTACCCGTTAACGACCCGTACCCGCTAACCCTTTTATTAAAAGGGTCGGGTATGGATCATCACCGATCCGCTCCATTTATAACCCGCCCCATATAAATTTTAGAATTATACATTTATATTTTATATTGCCTAAATTTTACTTTAAATTCCAATCGAAAGTCAAAATAGAAAAGGCCAAAGACTAAACTATTTATACATAGGACTCGAGGACTCAACTTCTAGACTTCCAGTCTTCTCCCAAGAATCATGATGTCATTTCATTTATATTTCATCATGTAAACACCAATTTCATTTATAAATCAATAAATTCATTTATCAACTGGAAGAAAGTTTATAATTGTTATTCTCTATCAATGCAATTGAGGGTCAAAAACCAATTGGAAGTAACTACAATAATGATTTTAATTCCAATCGAAAGTCTTCGAGTACATAATGTGTTTTCTAAATCAACATTTGTTTTATTTAACAAATGTGATTTTATGATTTAAGTAAAATGTGTTTGATTGTTCAAAAAACCTACGGGTTACGGGGCGGGTTTGTATATCTGTTGATTCGGTGGATAAGGGTATGGGTTTGATTATTCGAAACCCTGCGGGTTTGGATCGGGTTTTGGAATTTGTTAAAAGGGTTTGGATCAAGGTCGATTTGCTTCAAACCCGCCCCATTGCCAGGTCTACTTCCAGGAGGCCAGTACGTTAGGCGTACTCCAAATTACGTTGGGTGTTATGGGGCCAGGTGTCAGCCTCTAGTGGCAAGCCTTGGGGAGGAAGGGGGCGCACCAGATCGCGACACGTGTCGCTCCCTTGGTAATCCGAAAATTAACTATCTTGTAAAATTCATAACTTTTGTATACAAGCTCTGTTTTTGATGTTCTTTATATCCACGTGTAGCTATCGACGAGATCTACAACTTTCATTCATAATCCGTCGGCTAGTTTTGAATTTATTTTTAAAGTTATATTTTAACAGACTTAGACAGTTAAAGTTCGTTAAAAATTCATAACTTTGTCATCCGACGTTCATTTTCGACTGTCTTTATCTCGTAGAACTCTTATTAACGAGATCTTCTATTATTGTTTAGATTGTTTCGGCTAAAAATCGGTCGATCTAAAATTTGTTTTCTGAGTTGTATACTGCTATGTTGAATCTTAGAAAAATCATAACTTCGTCTAATGAAGTAAGATTTGGACGTTCTCTATATGCACACTCTCGGTTTGACGATTACTACGACTTTTGTTTAGACCACCAAGGCTAAAAATTAATTTATCAAAAAGTTACTTTTTATGATATGCAGAGTTGTATCGGTTTAACCGTGAAATTTCGAAGAAGCATGACTTCTTCTTACGAAGTCGGATTTCAGCGTCCTTTATATGTACGAAATCGTTGTCACATATACTATAACTTTAGTTAAGATTATTTGTCCTAAATAATCTTCTATCAAAAAATTATTTTTAACGCTTATTATCTCTAAATTGAATAGTCCGAATATGCGGGTGTTACACACACACACACACGCACACACACACACACACACACTCTCTCTCTCTCACACACACACAATTTGTAATATATATGTAAAAACTTGTATCGAAATATGTTTTGGTTGGAAGGGATGAGATAGATAGTTTTCCACGTGTAGTGGGTTGAAAAGGATGAAAGTAAAAAGGGAGCAAAAAACTTGCTATAGTATCTAGGTGTCATATGTGTTAGGAGGGATGAACTTCCTCCGCCCACAAGATAATTACCGTTAGCCTCATTCTGTTAAATGTTTTTGAAATGACTATATTATCCGTAGTTTTTTGTTTTTGATTTTACCACCATCACTATTGTCAATCACCATCACCACCGCCACCAAATCACCACCACCAATTGACATCCCTAACCTCACTTATCATTTATGTTCTCTTCCCTCACCTCACCACCATCGTTGGCTAGTAAATATTAAAAACCAATTTGATCAAAGAACAACTACCTTATTCACTAAAATCAACTCACCCCGCCCTCGAACCTGAAAATGTTGTAAAAATACCCCCTCTTCGAAACGGGGGTCTCACTGAGGTTTTCATATTCCTAAACAACAATGGTATTATGATTATTATCCTTGTTTTCCAACTCTATGGTCTCAAGTCTTCACTTTAGATTAATATGTGTTATCAAATGGGTTAGCTGATATTTATTGTCTTATATAACTGTGGACGAGACGACATGCCATTATGATCATTTTTTTTTAATTTAATAGGTTAAGACAAGTCGTCCTTTAATATCCCCCATATTTCCTTTAAAATACCAAAACATCTTTCAATAACATTTTTGCGGATGAATGTTTCATGTTAAAGAATTTTTTTGGTATCATAGGTTGTTGTCCATCACGTTGGTCGTTAAAATGATATATTTGACATGGGCAATGAAACCCTCTTTGTTTGTGTAGCTGACATAATATCACTCATAAGGTCATAAGGTAGAGCATTCGATGTGGCATTCGAGAGAGTGTAGGGCATTCAATGTGGCATGGGGAATACCTCCCACCCTTATGAGGTGTCTTGCGTTTAGTCCAGTTTTACGATGAAAATTAATTATAGCATGTGAATCCAAAGGTGGGTCCATATTACGATCCATATATCATGAGGTGAATCCAAAGATGGATAAATATATATATCCAAAAAGGGATCCATATTAGGTTGCATTTGTCATGCGTTACCCAATTCGTTTTGTAAGTTGAATTTTAACGATTTTATTGATAAAGGATAGGTATTGTTGTATTTGTTGGTAGAAAAATATATAAGTTTGGTATCATTGTAAATACCGATTTTGCAACATACATTTTAAAAAAAGTAGTTTTTCCTCAATAAAAAAAATGAAGGGCTACAAACAGCAAATGAAACAATTTAGGTAAAATAAAATTAAAAAAGTTTAAGGGTTGGTGATTATACAAGGTCGATACTATTGTACATACCAATTTTGCAACATGCATTTACAAAAATATAGTTTGCACGATTAAGAAAAAATTAAAAAGTTGAAAATGGCAAACGAAACAATTCAGGATAAAAACTAAACGAAAAAAAAGGTTGAAGGGCTATAAATGGCAAAAGAACCAACCATGGTTTTTTTCAGGGTAAAAAATGAATAAGAAAATAAAAAATTAAAGAGCTTTAAATGGCAAACAAAACAATTCTAGGTAAAAAATGAGAAAATAATTGATATATAGTTAGTTAGTATTAGGTGGATCCATATCGATTAATATTAAATTAAATTAATGTAGTATTTAATTTTTAATGTTGAGTTAGTTTGTATTTTAGTAACTAATTTTCCATTTATTTTAATCAGTACTAAAAAAAAATTTATATCTATTTTAAAAATAAAAATAAAAAGTGAGTAAAAGGAGAGATCGTTTCCTGTGCAAAGAAATGTGGGAAAATAACAAGATCAATGGTATTCTCTTTTGTTTACGTTTGCGTGCCATAGAGTTGGTTTTTATGACCACATGCTAACCATATCCTAATTAGCACAAAAAAAATTGTACTTGTTTACCAATGATTTTTTAAATATATGGATGTTTATCCGATAAACTTGATTTGGTTATGTCAAAAAGAAATTTTTATGTAACATCTTATATTTTAGATTTGTTTAATCATACTACATTTTATTTAATTAAGAATTTATTGGTTTCATCTTTTGGGGTGATAGCACAAGTATTTCTAGTAAATTATTATCTTAAAAGATATGTTTAGAGCCAAATGCCAAGACTATGATAGCCAAACCCTAGCTCCCATTCAAAAAAGCAAAAAGAAAATTAATAAAAATTAAAAAAACTAATGGCGTTGAGCCTAAACAACTAAGATAGAGGAATTGAAAGAATTCATGAAAGCACAAAAATAAATAATTCAACCGACATTTTCCACTGCATCATGTTGCTTCCCAAATTTTCTTAAAGCCAGTGAATATATTGCCTTTCTCTTCATTGCTGACCCTGCAGCCACCACTTTCACTGCCTGCAGTGCACTCAATACAAAAAGTGTCACAAAGACAGAACAGATTATACTGTGTTTGACATGTACTGGACTGTGATTGTGATAGTGACATTACCGTAGAAAGACTATGCCCATTGGACATCAATTCTTCCAATTCATTCTCCAACTGAGCCTCTGAACTCGTCTTTCCTTTAAAAAAAAAAAAAAAAAAAACGTTTTTTAATGATAACGGTACAAAAATATTAACCTCTTCATGCATTTTGGTGATCTCTCGTGCCATGACACATCGTCTGCAGTTTAAAAACACAAACATAAGTTTCTATGGTTATGTCCAATAATGAGACCAATGATTATATGAGAATATATTTTTATTCCGAAAATGCCCTTGGTTTACCTAGATTCGCCAAAAAGAGCGGAAGTCTCTTCAAGAAACTGTGAAAGCTTGTGTGGAGGAACATAGAATATTTGTGTGGCTAGTTCTTTTGCAGAAACCGTGAGCCTTTCCCTTCTTGGGCCCGCATTTTTGGGAAGAAACCCAACTATATGAATAATATCAAATTATTAACATCGTGCAAAAAGTTGTGAAAAAAAAATGCAGTTTTTATGTCATTTTGGGAAGTGTATTACCGAATGTGAATTCAATAGTGGATAAACCCGAGGCTGAAAGAGCAGTTACAAAAGCACAAGGCCCTGGTATTGGTATGACTGAGATATTCGCTTCCACACACAACTTTGCCTATATTGATATCTTGTGAATTATAACATTGTACTTTTGGCATTTTTCTTATTAGGTCATTATACTTTAAAAGATCTATCAAGATATAGCAATCAAAACTGCTTTGTATTTGGATAACATTGCTATAACTTGGTAGATATTTCAAAGTACAATCTTGTAGAAGTAAGAAATGAAGGTAGGATGCTATAACTATAATAAACAAATCAACGAAAGTATGTGCTATTTCTTGCATTTAACCCTAATTTGAACAAGAACAGGAGAAGAAGATTCGCACCAGTTCAGTGCCAGGGTCGCTGATGCCTGGTGTCCCCGCATCACTAATGAGTGCTACAATCTCACCATCAATCAATCTTTTTAATATGGATTGCTCTCGTTGGGTCTCATTGAATTTATGATAGCTCAGCTATAAAACTAAATCATGAAATTAGAAATGAGATGAAATAGGGAAAAAAGAAACATTGGATTCATGAAGCAAAAGATGAACTTACAAGGGGGGTTTTGATGCTATAATGTTGAAGCAACTTGCCGGAATGCCTCGTATCCTCTGCAAGTATCACATCGGCTGATCTTAAAACGCGCAGAGCTCTGTATTTATGAATTAAAGTTAGAAATTTAATAAAGGAATCAGCACAACGTAATATCTATTACTACCTCAAGGTGATATCTTCAAGATTTCCGATTGGAGTTCCTACTAGGTATAATCCGGACTTCAAAGTGGCCTACAACAGGAAATACGCACTTATCAAGCACTCCTTCCATATTAGGGTTTTATACAACGATGGATTCGATAGGGTTTAACGAAACCTGTGAAGAAATTAGCTTACCTGCTTTGATGAGGGTTCTTGAAGAGGGAGCTGAGTGGGGTCGACGGTGGAAGTAGGGTGTGAGTCAGAACAAAGAAAGAGGGCGAACCGACGACGGTATTGAAGAGTTGAAGACGGAGCCACCTTGACGGCTATCGTGGAAGGTGTTTGATGAGTGATAGACCACCATGAAGACGGCGTCGATGAAGTGGCCGCCAACATCGCCGGGAAACGAGAAATTGTCATCCTCAACATTGCTCACGTTCTCATCAGGTACTCGCAGTCGTAGTTTGTTGGGCCTCTTGGAGGTCAAAGTGTATAATTAGACTTCTCACTATATCGAATCAAGAACATTTTGACATTTTTTATACAGTATTTGTTAAATTGTGTAAATGTAAATTATTTCATAAATTTTGAAAAAACTTTTAATCAGTGTTTGTCTTTTGTCCGGGTGGAGGCTAGTAGGGGTGAGCATAGACAATGTTGGATCGTTTTTGGAGTAACACCGAATCCAACTCGCGTATTTCGATTTTAGAATCCAATAGGTTCGGTTTCTGACCGGGTTCAGGTTTTCAATTTTTAAGGCCGGTTTCTATGTTTGTGGGTTCAACCCATGGGTTCATAAGTTTTGGGTTTAAACCCATTTTCGAGTTAACATAAATGATTCATTAGATTAACAGATTAACATAAAAGTTAACATCAATTAACAAATTAGCATAACAACTAACATCAATTAACAGGTTAACCTAACATATTTAAGCTCAATCTTAGATTTAAGCTTAATCTCAGATTCATCGTAACAAAAGCTAAAAGATACCTGAAATTAAAAACAGATAGCAAGTACACACAAATTCAACAGATGGAATCGGACCAAAGGCCTTTGGCTAGCGGTAAAAAGTGACTCTCTCAAATGAGAGGTCATGAGTTCAAGTCTCACTAGGAAACATATATGATGTTTAAGATTAGATTAGGAGTATGATAGTTTGTTGTTTCAAAAAAAAATCAGAAGGTTTAGAAGCCAAACGAATTTGGAAAACATTAATCTGAACTATTTATTTATGTTTATTTAATCGAGAAAATTAAAGCATTAACACAACAAATTACAAACTTAAAACTTCAGAAGTGTGTGTACTAAGAGGGGGAGTCGACATCGAGATCAAGCAGACCAACTCACTTCAGTTCAACGGTTCACCAACTCACTTCAGTTCAATAGTTCAACGGAGGCAAACGAGATCGAATTCGTCACTGAAGCGACCTGAGAGCCATCGATCTTATTTTCAATTTAGGGTTTGGGAGTGTATCATTGTAGAGTGTAGGCCGTCGGTCTTATTTTCAATTCTCATTTTTACTATTAATAATAAATATTTAATAAAAAGAAAGAAATAGTGTTGGGTCGGTTTTTATAGCACCCAAACCGAAATCAATTTTATAAGTTTTTAATTTCAGAGACCAAACCCGACAGTTTCTGTGGTTTAGGTTTCATCGGGTTTCTTTTTTGTTTCTCGGTTTTTGGGTTCAGTTTTGCTTATCCCTAGTGGAGGGATAATTGTCATTGAACCCTCCAAACCGGTTGGTCACTTGTAAACTTTAAACAAAATGTTATGGGTACTATATATAAATTTAGAGGTAATACGTCGAAAAATTGCACTACATCGAAACAATTTCAATTTTTTTTACTGCACTTAAAAATTTGAGGGGTTAAGACCAGCCCTACCGCCGCTCCCAAGGTGGAGGGGACAGTTTTCCCGACGAACTCGCACAAGCCGCTTCCTTCCTTTCCTTCTTTGCGTCCGATACAAATCTCACCTACCTGAGTAAAAAACCCCCTTTTCCGGTACCGGGCTAGTGGGGATGGTCTGTAACGCCCCTCGCTATGGTCTATTTAAATAATATTTAAGAAAATCATTTGTTAAAGTTTCTTAAAAATTCAGAGTTTATGTTTTGCAAAAAATCCGTTGTTGCCAAAATAGTAAGTTTAATTAAGTTTGAAGACTATCAAGGTTGTTAACAATCAACATATCAAAAAAGGACTAAAGCTCACCACACATTCTATGATTCTATGGCGTTCTAAAAGTCCAAGCTAATCCCTAACCCAAGCATTCATGAAATATCATTTTTTGGGAAATTGGTTTGATATTAAAAGCAAAATACTAATGTTTTTGGAAATTGATTTAAGCATCATATTTGTGCATATCATTGTTAGGATGGATTGTGACTGTGAGATCCCAAGTACTCGATATTTTGACTATTCATCGTGTCGTTGTTTAATTGTGAGTAGATTTTTAGATAATTGAAACATCCCAAAAATACAGTCTGAAAGTTTCGTTCTAAATCAGTAATAAAACCATAGTCATCAGACGTCGTAGAAAAATCACAACAATATATCTCAAAATAATATAACATATGTCATGTATATCAGAGTATAAACATCCCAGACTGAACAAATGGTGTGTGTGCACTGCAATCTTCCCGAGCTCCTCTTTTGAAAACTGAGTATCTAAAACCAAAACTGAAAACTGTAAGCACGAAGCTTAGTGAGCCTTCCCAAACTACCACACACCGTACAATAACACATATAACACATATTGGGCCTTGCCCACTGCATCGGGCCCCGCCCGACATCGGACCGAAGTCCGGACTAACTTAGGCCCCGCCCACTGCATCGGGCCCCGCTCGGCATCGGACCGAAGTCTGGAAGAACTTGGGCCCCGCCCACTGCATCAGGCCCCGCCCGGCATCGGACCGAAGTCCGGAATGTACTGAACATAACATAAGCATAAACATATAACATAATCACATATACTGCATCGGGTTTGCCCGGCCTCGGACCAAAGCCCGTAACATATAACACATAACATAAACATGCATGAATCACAAAGACATCAAGCATACATAACTACTTCTCGGGTTTCCCGGCATCGGACCGGAGTCCGGGAAACATAACATATAACAAGTAAGCTAAATCACTGCATCAGGCCCCGCCCCGCATCGGACCGAAGTCCGGTACTACTAACATCTAACATGTAAGCTAAATCACTGCATCGGGCCCCGCCCGGCATCGAACCGAAGTCCGGTACTACTAACATCTAAACGGGCCGATATTGTGGCCTTAGACCCGTTCCTACTGGAAGGAAAATCACGTCACACTGCTGAAGTCCCACTGATAAAACCATAGCTGCTCAATGACAGATTCCCGATCTGTCAATATCAAAATAACACCCAATTAATAATTGGGTTCTATCACATATCCATAATTCCATGCTTGGGGTAAAAGACTACTTTACCCTTAACTTAGCTTGAATCAGTCCCAAGGCCCAATCCAAAGGCCCAAAGTCCAACTATAGCTCAAAGCCCAACCTTTGGCCCAATTTTCCAAATTGGGCCCAAACCTCTACATGGACTTCCCTTAAGGCCCAATTGTTCAGTCCGGTCCAACATGTCTCATTCTAAGGGCCCAATACTATACAACCATCTAGGCCCAACTATGGCCCAATTTTCCAAATATGGCCCAATTTTCCAAATTGGGCCCAAACCCTCTTATGGGCCTTACCCTAAAGCCCATTAAATTGTTCTAGTCCATTTGCTTGTTCTTGGATGGCCCAACACAAAGCCCAAGTGAAATTAGGGTTTCACATAAAATGATGATTAGGGTTAAGTGTTTCTCACTTAACCCATTAAGGACTTAATCCAAAAAAAAATAACCACACACACTAACTAACACACACACACAGCCACCCCTAGTGGTGGCCGGCGGTGGCACGTGGCGGTAGCCACCACCTCATGGTGGTGGCAGTGGCTTCCTTGCGATTTCCGGCTAGACTAAACATGCACTAATCAGAAATACATGCTCACACACCCGCTGAATGGTCACAAAACGACTCCCCAGCCACCCACCAGCGGTGACCGGCGACGACAACAACAACTTTAGGACGGCAACGCAACAACCGACGTCACCGGGAAAAGGTAGAGGTGGCGGCGCTAGACGGCAACACCGCTGCTCCTCAGCGCCACAGTGGCGAACGTGGGCTGATTCAGCCACCCAAACGCGAACAACAACGTACCCACGAACGAGCTTCCTAATCCCTTGAGCCTCTTTGTCTTGTCGACGGCGGAACTAGGTGGCTGCTCCAATGGTTCTTTGGTGGTGTCGAGGAGATGGCGGCAACGGGCCCCTGCTGGTCGGAACAGCGAACAGCGGTAGTCTTCACGCATGGCGGTTGGAGTATCGACACGACACGGTAGTCCTTCGAGATGGTAATCGCTGACCGGAGCAATGGAAACGAGTCCTCCGGCGACGACAGCGACAATGCAACAGTAAAGGCGGCAGGAGGCTCGACAGCACAGCGGTGGACGGTCTCGGAAGAGGGAAACACCACGGTAACCTCGGCACCGGCCTCAGGCCCGTCATCGGAGTCGCATGGAGTCGCCGACGATCCTACCATGGTCTCACCGAGGCAGTTGCTGGGACGAGGGGGAATAAGGTGAAGATGGCGGCTGCATAAGTGGTCCGTAGGGTTAGGGTTTCCAGCGAGATAAGGATTCATATATACCCGCCCATATGACATCTTTACCATAATTACAATTATGGTCCCTCCCCATGGGATCTTTTCATTTTTAATCCATTATTTACCCTTTTACCCCTGATTCTATGATTTCCTTTCATAATAAATCCCTAAATTACCAATAAACCCTTAAGCCTTCAAATATTTTCAATTTAAGTCCATTAATTACAAACGCAACCCTGACTTCTGTAATTATGACTTTTAACTCCTCGAAACTAACGCTCGCTCAATTATTATTCATTTTAGGGCTTCTATACATTTATTTATTTATTTTATAAACGGGTTGTTTCAACTCTCCCCCACTTAAATTAGATTTCGTTCTCGAAATCATTCCTTATCATACCTTACACGGTAACTACTCAAGTAACATGGCCATAATCATGGGTACACCCTAGCCTTCTCAGGGTAACCGTGACCATCCTTCGCAAGGCCCTAAATTCTGCAGGTGAACGAATTCCTGGCAACAAGATCACATCTACTCCGTCTGAAATCTGTTGTCTCGAGATGGTCTGAATCCACGACAGACCACTCATACTAAATCATTATAGATGAACCCCGCGGTGGGTGACTTAGCATTACTCAACAATCTGTTACGCTTACCATACATGAGATCCTCAAATATCATTACTCCTGGAGACCCAAAATTGTCTGGAACACTGATCTGCCTGAAAACACTAAACTGCCTGAAACACTGACTGCCTGAAACACTGAACTGCCTGAAGCAGTATGTTGCCACTGATGGGTTTTAGGTACAACAAATAAACTAGAAAAACAATT